TGTGGGCACAGCTTCTACTTTGCACACTCCGTTCTCTCGTGTATGAGAACTCGCAGCCTTACACAGCAGCTGCTGGAGGACAGATTTACTTGGAAATCTGAAAACTGCCTTCAAGGATCCCTGCCTCCGTGCAGCAGCACGGTGTGGTTTTCATTCCTGACTTGAAAACTCTTTTGTTTGCCTTGCTAAGGACCTGCCTGCATCCTACAGCCCTTGCGAAGGACCTTTGAGGGATGAACACAAGAGAAACAAATAAACTTGTTTTCTGTTACCAGCTTGAGTAAGGGTAACTGAGAATGATTTTTGATCTGTATTCCCTAAGAAATATGGGCCTGAAGTTATTTTAACACATTTGGGACAGATAATCAGCGTACCACAGGTTGCTTACCTACTTGTCACTCTTTTTAATTCAATTTCTTCAGCATCTTAAAATCCTCCTTTCAAGCTTTTCTGCCAAATAAGCGGCAAATACCCAGCACTAAAGGGATCACAGGCTGATCAGGGCTATGGGGCGGCTGCAGAAAAGGCTGATTCTGCCTTAACCAAAACCCACATCTGACTTGAAGGGTCTAAATCCTCCTGAGATTGAACCCACTCCAGCCATACAAAGAAAACCGTAAAGCTGCTTTGAAAGCACCTCGAGGCAATCCCTTTTGGGGGGAATTCTTATGCTAACATAAAGCTCCAGGGCATTTGCCCTGTCCTGGATTATGCAGAAGGGGTGCAGGAGCAGATCGGTCACGCAGGGATGGTGCTGAGCCCTAGCATCCAGCCACAGCGAGGCAGAGCAGGATGGACCAACAGCTTGCCTTACGATTTCTATGGGGCTGGGGAAGTTAAAAAAAAGAAAATTAAAAAAATTGCATTTTCCAATCTATTTTATTTGGACTATGTTAAGCCAAAAAGATCGATGCAGTTTTCCAAGAAGAAGATATGAAGGAACAGAAAATCCAGCAGAGCTAATGCTCTTTTGATGATGTTTTGAGGAAATTTTTATTTTTGTGTCACAGGCTAGGATCATTTACTAGAGATCCATAATTTAGATGTACTTTTGTTTTTAATCTCTCAATGCCATCAAGAAAATTAACTTCTCTCATTGTCATAGTGTATTTAAAGCACTTAAGTTCACAAATAAGAAACTATATAAAAATGCGAAAGAGTACTTGGATTTTTTTTTCAGCCAGAATATTGAAAAATCAAGTATTTCAGATGAAAAAAAAAAATTGTTTGGCCTTGCTTTCTCAACATGAAAATGAGTCCCTAACTACTTCACACCACTGGACAGTAGTTAAACAGGGCTTGTCAGTGTTTTATTTTCTTTCTTGGAAGATCCAAGCCAAGCTCTGGAAATTCAAATGACTGAATGCTACGGACACCATGCAGCAATATATTTTATGCATTAAAAATCAGAATTAAATTTAGTTTGAGCATAACTACATGCACATCAGTGGCACAGCAGAAGAGGAGAAATTGGCCTAATGTCTCTGTTACACCAGGAATCCAAAAGCTGCCCTAAGGCTCGCCACCTTGCTGAACACTGAACAGGGGAACAAGAATAACACAGAGCATTTCCCTCCACTGACAAACTCCCATTGCTCATAAATTCATTTACAGTCTGGAAGTGGAATGACATTATTTTTGATACCAGTAACGCAGCAATTGCCCAGATCCCGCATTATTTCCGCCTGAAGAGAGCTATAAGGTTAGAATAACATCGTTCTGTTAAAATTAAACACTGCACTCGCTCATTTCATGCTCTCTGCTGTACTAATGAGAGGTCTGACGCAAAAGCTGCCAAAGTTAGTGGTCCTCTCTCAGCTCTCATCTACAATCACTCGTCACTACTACTGAAGGGGGGTGGACAGTTTTATCTGGGATTCATAAACCAGATGAAGTCCTTCACCTCTCTCTGAGCATTTTTCACAGAAAGCATTTGCAGAATCTCTTTGTTCTTAACTGACCTGGTTCAGCATCACTATTCGCACGCTGGGAGGTCACTCGAGGCCAAGACGGTACAAACCTATGTATATCATGGGGAGGTCTAGCAATAAAGCAGATTTGAAAAGGGAAAGGAGAGTAGCAGCTCTCAGGGGCAGCTGGGGGAGCTGCTGAAGCTTCCCTGCTGGGCACGGGGCAAGCAAAGCCTCAGACCCTGCATCCCGGTGCAGCCAGAGCTGTTCCTGCTCCTCTGCACAAAGATCAGCCCCTCGCTGGGCCCAGATAATGTGTTTTTTAAGAGTATTAGAAAAGCAGAATGCATTTCAGAGCAGGCTCTGAAAGCCAAATCTGGACACCAAAGCACTTGAGGGCAGCCCACATCCAAACCACGCTGGGGAACAGCTCCTGCACGCTGCTTTAACGCCAGCCACCTCGTGTTATCGAGTGTGAAATCCAAGGGGGGAACCTTGCCCCTGAAACCGTGCTCAGCATCTCCCCAGCCCATCAGGCTAGTGCCTTAGCTCTGCTAAGTGCTTGTGGAAATCTAGCAAAGCATTTCCACTGCTCACCATCACACTAATGGGATTCTGCAAGGCAAGGAAGACCAGAAACCCAAATGGCAAAGCAAAGCATATAACTCCTCACCTAAGGGTTGTGACCAAGCCCTTAGGAAAGGCAGGTTGCTGGGCTAGGTACGCTCAATTAAAATAAACAGAAGCAGAAGTGCTCAGGGTGGAGCGGTCAGTGAGAAGCAGAGCCACGGTTCACTTCTGTGCTACTGCAGAATGAAAAACCCAAAGCAGAAAGCGGGACCCCAGCACGCTCCAGGCTGGGAAGGCACACACAAAAAGATGAGGGCTGCCTTCAGGAGTTTGCATCAGGCACAAAGCAGCTGGATGCTGATCTCCCTAAGCCGGTGGATATTCCTTTTGTTAGCTGCTGATCTTGTCTTCCCTCTTGCCTGTAAATCTCTAAGCTCTGCAAAGATTTCTAGTAAGCCCTTGCGCAGGTAGTTCCTGTTTTCTGCAGCCCAGAAACTGCCAACATTGGCAGCCACGGGGATCCCAGGGGTGGATCCACGCACGGGGCAGCACAGGGCAGGATGCGTGCAGCGGCTGCTCCACGGTGCCGCGGGGCTCCCAGTGAACCTGGCACACCCATGCCTACCCAAGAACACCCTTACACACCCATGCACACCCAAGCACACCCTTACACACCCGTGCACACCCGTGCACACCCGTGCACAACCATTCACACCCACCACTGGTTCCGGTTGAGCTGCGGAGGGCAGGTGGCTGCGGTTGGCCCCTCTGCAGAGGGCTGCTAACAGCAGCCTCATATCATTTTCGGTAGCCCGCAGGCTGGACCTCTTTGCATATAAATAGCTTCATTTTTTTTTTTTTTTTCCTTCTCTTTCATTATGTTTTTTTTCCTTTTCATTATTTGACTCACCCTCTCTCTACGCGCCGTTTCATGCTTTCTCACATTTACATCAGCTCAAGGCATGCGTCTCTAAAGATCTCTCCTTTGTGTTTGCTCCCCCTCGGATGCTGGTTTAATGTGTGATTTTACAACCAAGTGATGCTATAAAAAGTAGAAGCCCAGAAAAAGGAAGAAATAAAAAAAAAAGGGGGGAGGGAGGAGAGAGGAGGAAAGAAAAAAGAAAAAAAAAAAAAGGAGGTGCCAGACTGGGATAACTTCACATTTGTGGTGTGTTGCTTGATACAATCGAGCAGCCTATAAAACGGTAATAAAATGACACACGGCAAGCTCATATGATTAATGTCCACAAGAGCACTTTGAGCTCGCAGAACAGAAAGCATGTTTTTAGGCAACAATGCTTTTGATTCCTATCATCTCAGCAAATAGGTTAGTGAAAATAATATAGGTCAGACAATGAAAACGCTCTGAATTTGGCTCAGCACGCTGCCTGTGCCTTCCTTCTCTAACTTCAGTTACTGTTCTCTTGCAATGAGGCTCTCAGTGTTATTCACATCCCTTTTGCTTGCTGCAGGCATCATTTTGCCGTGCCGCCTCGCTAGCTTTTCTTACTTTCTGCCCCTTCTCTGCCCCTTTTTAATTTCCCATCGAGATTTGATAAATGGAAAAAAAAAAAAAAGCCATGCTTCAGCTGTGACGAATGCAGTTACAGGGCGGTAAAAATACGTTCTGGGAGCATCACCCGAGCTCTAATGGAAAATCTCCACGCGCTTGGCCACTCCGGATTTTTTTTTCCCCCCTTGAAGCAAGACACGCGTGTCCCTACACGGATGAGCACCGAGACTGTGGACCCCCCTTAAAATCCCTGCACTCCCTGGCTGCAGCACAGCCCCCCCCGGCCGCCCCCAGCCCCATTTCGGGGCTGTCCCGGCTCTGCGGCTCCCCCCGCGCCCATCCCCGCAGCTCGTGGGCAGCGGGGGCTCAGCGGGGACCCCGCCGCCCCTTTCCCTGACCCCACCGGAGCCTCTCCGCCGGGTTCCCGGTGCTCGCCCGGCATCACGGAGCTGCCACCGGCTTGCGGTGCCCACCCCGAGCCCCGGCATCCCTCCCGCATCCCTCCCGCATCCCTCCCGCATCCCTCCAGCATCCTCCCGGTCCCCTCCACGTCCCCATCCCGGTCCCCTCCCGGTCCCTGTCCCTATCCCGGTCCCCATCCCGGTCCCATCCCAGTCCCCCCCCGGTCCCTGTCCCTATCCCTGTCCCCATCCCGGTCCCCTCCAGGTCCCCCCCCGGTCCCGTACCTGCCGCCGGCCGCCGCCGCCGCCCTCTCGCCGCCGCCCCCCCCGCGCACCCCGGCCCCCGCCTCGGGGGCGGGCACTGAGCCCTGACGGACGGGGCTTTCCTCCAATCGGCAGCGGAACCCGGAGGAGGCCGGGCCAATGGGGAGGGGGGAGGCCAAAGCGAAAGTGGGGGGAGAGGGTCGGGGGGGGAGGGAGATGGAGGGAGGGATGGATGGACGGATGGATGGATGGATGGATGGATGGATGGATGGATGGATGGATGGATGGATGGATGGATGGATGGATGGATGGATGGATGGATGGATGGATGGATGGATGGATGGATGGGAGGGGGAGAAGGGGAGAGGGAGGGGGCCAGGAGGGGAGAGGGGCGAGGGGAGGATGTGGGCAAAGGATGGAGAAGGGGTAGGGAGAGGGCAGGTGCAGGAGCAGGTGCAGGGCAGGATGCCCGTTGCCCTCCCCCTGGCCCTGTGCAGCCCTCCCAGGGGGATCCCAGCCTTCCCATCCCCGGGGAGGCCACGTGGGGTAGGGCTGGGGGAGACCCCGCAGGGGAAAACCCCCTGTGAGCGACCGCAGCTGTGGTGGGGGAGAGAGGCAGGAATATAACCCTGGCCTCCTGCTCTTGCAACCAGCCGAGCCCACGTAAAAGGAGGAAAAAACGTCTGCGAACAGATGCGTGGGTATATTGTACCAGGGGCACAAACACAGCAATCTCGGTGCTATCTTTATCGGGGTGATGCGGTGCCAAATGCTACCAGGGATAGGCCCGGCTGGGTTAATGATTGCAGGGCGAGCTCTGCTCCGGAGCTGAGGCATAGAGGAGAGCTGCAGAAGCCGTGCTGCAACGCTGCGGGCACACAGCCCGAGCCCTGCCGTCTGCACAAACACGGCCGTCTGGGCCTTTTCCTCCTCTGCCCGGTGACTTGCTGCCACCACGGTTGGTGGCACAGGCACAGGGGTGGTGCTTGATTGAGCATGGGTGAGTCCTGGGGCAGCACCCGCACCCTGCAGGATGGAAAGCACCTGGGGAGGAATAATCCCAGCAGAAGTGACATGGGCACAGCAAGAGCATGCAGCTCCTGCATGCCTACCGGTGCAGCTCCTGCAGCGACTCTGCATTAACTGGCAGAGCTCTTCCACATCCCTTGGGAATTTGGCCTGTTTCTGCACGTTAAAAGCTGAATAATTCAGGCGCTGCATGTTTGGCTCTTTAAAGCACAATCAGTTCTCCGTTACCCAGCGTGCGCAGGATTGCCAGGGTAATGGAAAACCCCAGCAAACGCTGCGTGTGGTGGCAAGGAGGGCGAGGGAAAGGCATGGCCAGAGGCTGGTGGGGCTGCCTCCTCCTCATCCTCCGAGGCACTGACACCAGCATGGAGCTGGAGGCTGCTGCCTTTTTGCCCCATCCTTCTTGCTGTGCCCAGTGGAGGGGAATGCGGATGGACTTGCAGTTGTTTTTTTTTGTTTTTACTGTCAATGAACAGGCTAAATTGGGAGCTGCTGAATAAGCTTTTAAAGGGAAATTAAATGTAGGAGATCCTGCTGCTTCTGATGTGCTGTGGTCAGGAAAAAACAGGAGTTGTTTGCTCCATGGACACACACTGATACTGGTTTATTATACAGGAATAGTTTGATGAGCCATGTGCTGAAATTAGGACCTTGTTTTGTCTGCTGCTCTAAATCACTGATGAATAAGACCCTGTTTTAAACCGTTTATGTTTCAAATAAACAGGGAGAAAAGGACAGCAGATGTGCAAAAGTGAAATGGTGCGTCAAAAGCATCCGAGCTGGGGAAACCCCCCCTGCATTTCCTGCTCAGCCCCATCGCCCAAACTCTGCTCATCTCTGGCTCCAGCTTCATGGTGGTGCATCCCTGCTCCTCACCCCCCTGGGGCTCTGCTCACATCTCCAGCTGTGTTTGGTCCGTCAGAGGTGCAGAGGAATTCTTTGTCTTAATTTCTGGAGAATTTTTGATACAGCATCTTAAAATGTTTTACCTCTTAAGTGATGGAGATGTAAAGATGTGGAGCTTGTCCTATGGATTTGCCTGAGCTGATAATGGATTTGATAACGTGCCAAAGGGAGAAGATATGGAAAAGAAGGACAGAGGTGGCCTGGAAGAAATCAGTCTGCCATCTCTGCTTCCCTGTCTCAAGGTATCCGTCCCAGGAGCACGTTAGTTGTAGTGTAGCAGTACACTCCCCACCACATCCACAGCCAAGCATCCTCCCAGAAGGACCAGGCTCATCCATGACCCCTGTAGCAGTCTCAGGGGATAGGAGAGGCCTGAAATTCATTCACCAGAGCTACAGAAAGACATGAGGTGTGTGCGAGGCAATGAAGTGTGTGCAGGTAAAGGTGCATTGCAGAAGAGATGCAAAAATCCTCACCAGACCATGGTTCCTGTCCTGGTGCAAGCCACAGATGCCTCCTCAAAAAGAGACCTGCCCTCACACCATGGTGAGGAAGGGTGGCCCGGGGGACACAGCCCTGTCCCCTGCACCACCAGGGCTCTGTGCAGCTGAGATCATTCTCCTTGGCAGCATCTGGTGTAAATCTCCCTCATCTCTGCTCATCTCTCATCTGGGGCCATCTCTTTTTGCTCCCACCTCTGTTGAGCTTGGCCAGCCTGGATCAGGAGCTCTGCAAGCAGCTGATGCTGCTGGTGGCTTTTCTTGTCAAATCAAAGGGCACCAGGATCATGCTTGGCTGGGGCTCACTGGTGGGCACAAGGTTGTTTCTGAAAGGCTGAGGCCACCTATGCCTCCATCCATCATCAGAGCTGAGAATTACCATGGCAATGACAGTAATAGACAATGACAAGGAGGTTGGTAATCATATTAGTGTTATTATTAACTAACATTATCATCATTATAGCATTCCTGTTATATGGATTACTATTTCCTTGGGTTTGGAGGCTGTGATCACTTTAGTTTGTCTGAAATCCTGATTTTACGGGTCATGTTAACACTCACAGATACACCTGCAACGATTTTGTGTGTGTGCTAGCTGGCCATTTAATATTTCACACCGGGATGGATTTACGATGTGTTGCCTCTCTGTCAGGAGCTGTGGGAGTGTTCAGACACATACTTCTGAGCTGCTCGCTTTTATCAATCTACATAAATCATTAAAACTTGGGGCTTAATGAATGCAAATGCAGTGCCGCAGAAGGGAAGTCAGTTGGCTGGAGGCACTCTGCGAGCTGGAATCGCTCCATCGACCGAGACTGCTGAAAGATGTTTCTTCAAGTTCAGTCCTGTAAGTCACCTGGGACGTGAGATGATCACGATGATCTTTGGGCTAAATCTGTGCAGACACAAACCTCATTAACACCGATCAAACGAAACTGCCCTCGTTTCTCCAAGATCCACGCAGCTGACTGGGAAAGCAGGGGAGTTGTGGTACATCCATCACGGGAAGTCCGGGTCTGGCAACATGTAAATTTTTAATATCGTTAAGTGTGCATGCACTTACGAGATTGGGTTAGCATAGTCATAAACAATTTATTTAAAGACACGCTGTCTGACAGATTTCTGGTGCCTTAATGATCATTTCCTAATATTGCTCTTATAAATACTTCCATGATTCACATCTCCTGTTGCAGAACAAGCAACAAATCTCTAGGAAGGAAGTTCAGAACTGGATTTTTTTTTTCCTAAAAGATGCTCTTTAGAGTTGTATTATAACTCTGATTTGAGCCAGAAACTCATTCACAGGAAACATAACAAACAGCCAATACGGATGTTTTTTCAAGTGCTCATTTGCAGTGGGAAATGCATTTCAGAAAGTCTCCCCAGTGATTTTCACCAGACTTTGTGTTGCTCTACCTCTGTAAGATCCCATTGGTTTTGCAAAGTAGAGCATCAGTATCCGTCCTGCTTAGCTTTGCCAGGTGTATTTGTCATTACAAGAGCAAGGGATCCCTTAAATGAAAGGATCAGGTAGGAAGCTGAAAGCAAACTCTTGCCCAGCTCCTGATTAAACAGTGGCAAATCGTTTCCAGAGGACTTTGCAGAGCCTGAAAGTATAACCGTGTTCAAAGAGGGATTAGACAAATTCCTGAATGACATATGCCTCGGCGGCTGTTAAACCCGATAATCTCAATGCAAACCTCTTGTTCGGGATGTCCCTGAGCTGGGGATTTCCAGCAGCCAGGGGAACATTGTGGAGGGAGCGATTGCTGCCCTGTGTGTCCTGCTCGCCTCTCCATAGCGCAGCCACTGTGCCTGTACCGGCACCACAGTGCGTGGCCGTAGCTCTGCACTGACAGGAAATAAAACCAGGAGCTCTGCTGCTGAGGATGTACTAAGTGTGATGTGGTACTATTAAAAGAGCAAAGGAAGAGCTGTACCTTCTCTTTCAGCTGTTTTCTGAAGGATTTCTGGAGGCTCTGAGCTCTTTTTTATCAGACCCTTGCCATTAGGTGATGCACTGCAATTTCTTCCTAAGATGGAGAGAAACAAAGTGATTTCTTGCACTCCACTCAAGTTTTATTTGAAAGAAAAGTGACATTACATGGGAAAAAAAAATCATAGGAAAGCCCACAGACTTCATTATCCAAGGAGATCAGTTGCTGAAGCTCAGTGCAGCAGCCGTAGGCACCTTCTCAGTCTGAACAGCCCCCGGCAGCCGACCGGGCTGAGGGAGCACCAAGGGCACTTCAAGCTGAGCAGGCAGGAGAAGAGTTGTGCCTGTGGTGAAGAAACGCACACTATTTTTCTCTTTCAGCTGCTTTTTGGTAGCCCAGATTGGTAGAGCAACACCAGGGGGTGCACATTGTGGACACAGCTGTCACCAAATTCAGGTAAATGCCTCCTTGGGCAGGCTGTCAGCAGCCCACAGCTCTCCTTTCTGCTGCAGCTCCCCAGCCGGACAGGGAGTCCTGCAGAAATGTGAGCAGTAATTAATAGCAACCATAATTACAATCCAGATCATTGCCTAGCTGCAAAATTTAAGTTCTTTGAGCGTAACTAACCTGCTCAGTTCTTACTTACAAGCAACAGTTCTTCTCTTCTCAATTCTCCTTAGAAGGGACCACAGCCCCTGGCCTGTGAGGCTCAGAGATGAGGTGAGGCTCACAGCACCTTACCTGCACTGGGTGCTGGACCTGGATTTCTGCTCCGGGACAGGCTCCGGCACCGCACAGCATTGCAGTGAGGAGCTAAGGGAATAATCCAGCCTGGGGTAGCATGCTCTCCCCTGGTCCCATTTTTCATCTGCTCCATTCACTGCAGGGAAAAAGCTAATCAGAATAATCAGAAAAAAAAGCTTATGAAATGCTGGCTAATATCTCACAGTAGCACAACAGCTCAGAACTCATCACTGTGGTGCATGGAGCAGCAGCACAAAGAGGAGCATGGGGAAAATCACCTGCACCATGGGCTTTGCTTCTCCACCTGCTGTGCTTTTGGCACCACGTCTGATGGGAATAGTTACACCTCAGTCAGTGACAGCATGAATGCCAATGTGCCGAGGAAGAGCAGGTCAAGCTCACTGAGCTCTCACAGGGTACGAGTGAGGCTGGAGCATCACACACCACATCCCAGCACCGCATCCCAGTACCGCTCATCCAGGGGCCGTGGGGCAGAGCCTCGGCGCAGGGCTTTGGGCTTTGAACGGAAGCGAGTTGCCATGGTCAGCACTGCATGTTTATACAGCAAGGGTAGATCGTATCATCAGAGCAACACCCTTCCTCTGTGCTCGTGTTTTTAAAGGGCGATTGCACCATTGAACCACCCACTTGTGCTTCTCCCTTGCTAGGAGACCAGGGAAAGAGGTTATGTTCAGTCACTGAAGGTTTTCCATTTTTTAAAAAAATAAAGTCTGATGAAAAAGCAATATAACTGAGGCTTGAACTTTTAATGACTTTGTTTCATAATCTTTTCAAAGAAAGATTCCTGTTAAACTGACCAAGCCTTTTAACTCTTTTTGTTGTTGGCTTAAAGCCTTGGCTTTTATGAGTGTTGCCGCAGCCCTCACACACTGTGCTATTCTCTCTGCCCAGATTCCCCTTTGGATTTTAGTGAAAGTTGGCACTGCAGCGTAGCAAAGTACAGACGCTTACTGACAGCGATCTCATCTGCCTGTATGATCTGGGAGATAATCAGGAATATCACGTGTATGTGAAGGATATATTGCAGCATGATATGTAGCGTGCTTAGTTAGCTGTATTGGAAAGATTTCCAGATAGTTATTGATTTTCCAGCCCTGTAATTAGTTCAGAGATTACTAGCATAGAAAATATTGCTCTAGAAATTGATTTTTTTAATTGTTCATTGCACCAAAACTACAGTATCACTGCAAAGTATGGCAAATGTTTTCTGCAGAGGAAGACTTTGAACTTTGGAAAAATATTGCCACTGTAAACACAGGGAAGAAATCACATGGCTGATTATTTTGCTATCTTAGATAAGGCCCAGATCTCGCCAGCTCTATCTGATTTCTAAAATCCATCCTTATAGTGCTCCTTGCAGGATCAAGGTCTAAAGGAGAGATTGGACCCGATTGTGAAATCCAAAGCGCCTGCAAGTCTGTGTGCATCAGGATCCGAGCAAATATCGGCTCTACCCCTTGGTGCAGAGCTCCCACCTGGGGGATGTCACAGTGTGCTGGGGCAGGTGCTCACCATGGAGCATTTTTCACCTGATTTGTGCCTGTCCACCAGCACGGGCAGCCTCTGCACCTTGGCTGGGAGCTGTGTGTGTCCCTGGGGAAGAAGAAAACTCCTCTGTCTCCTTTCCCACTCGATGGAGCTGCCCTTGATCACCGTCACGAGAATCCACACAGATGCTGCGATGCTGGCAGGCAGCTACCAAAGGGCTCTGGCTGCAGCCTGCAGCAACACACTTTTTTTTTTTTTTGTGTGTCTTCTACTCCATCTTGGTCTCGGTGCTGATGCATTATAAGTTCAAAGTTTGCACCCTTCCTGTCGCTGCCAGGGCTGTTTATGAGTGCAGTAAATGCCAGGAATGCAGGCCAGTCACCCTGGACTCTGCCCCATCCATATGGCCAGGCTTGGGTTTCACAGGTAGCTGAGCACTCCTGAAATAAGCCCCACTAACCACAGCTTTGGGCCATGCTCAAATCCTTTTTCCTCTCCTAGCCCTGCAGCAGAGCAAACTGAAGGCTCAGTGCCATTCACCAGAAAGGTTGATGGGATACAGCCAGGAGCAGCTCTATCTTGGCAGCTGCCACGTCTTTCTCATCTGAAGCCGTCCTTGCACGTGCCGCTTCCTTGTTCTAATTAAAACCTTAATCAGCTCAACATCTCATTGCTGAAGAATGACTTGGCATTCGGCACGCTGGCAGCTATCAGACAGTGACAAGCTGTGGCATCTCCAGCACTCAGCAGAGGTCAGAAGTTGGCCCCTTGGGTCCTGGGTGCACATCGCACACCTGTTTTTGCAGCTCCTCTCCCCGGTTAGTGCTCTTTTCTTGTCTTCCAGGATGGAAAGGGGAGATGATAGGAAAGGGATGTAAAGATTGGGACCAGAGAAAAGCAGAGCAGTGTTATGGCAGTGGTCCTGTACCACAGGAGCTTTCATATGTCCTCCTGCTCACCCAGTGCTTTATGAATGAGGATCACAGGGAGCAATAGGCACTTGGCTAAGGGCGGTGACTTCTCACACAAGAATACATGGCCAGAGGTAGATATATGAATACTGTCCATTAGAAACACCCCATGGATGCTCCTCATCCCCATCCCAAGTCCCACATGTGCCCAGATCCAGGTGACCCCAGCCACACCTTTAGCCAGGGCTGTTCCTGTACCGCCATGAACCCCGCAGCAAGAAGCTGCATTTGCACAAGCGAGCGTGCCCTGACCCTGCCAGAGCTGGAATTTCAATTGGTTTATTGCTTCCAGGCAACATTTTTTTCATCTGTATTTATCAGCTCCTTTGGGGAATTTGTCCTCCCCATCCCGAGCAGGATGCTTGCTCCGTGCTGGGTGACTCAGCAGCAGCACTGCACGCACGGAGTGGGAGGTGGTTTGTGGAAAACAGGAGTAACTGCATCCAGTAAGAACCCAGCTTCCTCTTCCAACGAACCTGGTATTTCTCTCTAGCATGATAACGGCAGATGTTTCCTATAGGAGCACAACCAGGAAACCCCAAAAGAGGCAACGAGGGCATTGCAGTTTGGGAGGTTTATCAGGATTATTTAATTTTAGGGCACAACTGGCCCAGACATTAAACAAATCAGGTGCGTCACTTCTCTAAAAAGCTTGTGAACTGAGGAGGTTGGGTAGGCAGCAAAACGCCCAAAAGATGATTTTCAAATTACAGGGGTTGCGTATTCTGCACTAGTCATGCAGGCAGTCAGAAAATTTGGCTGTTATAAGATTTCTTCCAGAATCTGTGAAATCCCAGGAAGAAAGAAGACATGGTCATTCTTGCAAACCCCAAACCATATAATAACAAAAAAATAGGCCAATTGGGCAATCTTTGGTTTGGTGGAGAAAGTGCTTCTGCAACTCTGTAATTCCCAAAACACACCCAATCCTGGAAAAAAAAAAAAAAGGAAAGAAAAAAGAAAAAAAAACAAACTTAGGAAATGTCTCAGAGGATGGGAAGTGTTTCAGTAAAAGTAAATTTAGCAGAGCCTGAATGCCCCTGGTACCCTCCCCATGCCTGCCCCTGGAGGCCCCTGAGGCAGGCGGCAGCAGCTGGCGGTGTCAGCCCTGGGCCCCAAATTCCCTTCCTTCACCTGCAGTCGTTGCACCAGCACATTTTTAACCTCTGCAGAAAAATGGTATCACTGCGTGCATCATTACACAACAGTCCTGTAGGGAAAGGGTGTAGAAGAAAAGGAGGAGAAAATGCAGCTTTATTTTGTGCCTCCCTACGCAATTTGGGGGGCTCATTTGACTCCCTGGGGCATGGGTACAGGGAGTGAATTACAAGTGCCTTTGTCACCACCCCCTGCTCCAGGACAGGAGCAAAAGTGAAGTATTTTTCCCCAATATTTCACCCCCATCTTGTCTTTGTGTACCTGATTCTTCCTCGCATGAGGGCAGAGGAGCTGCCACAGGGACACGCAAGCATCGGTGCTGCCACAGCCATGCACTTTTGGGGTTCACCCATAACACGGCCCAAAATACATTTTTGGGGTTTACCCACTCCATTCCCGAGGTCAGAAAATGTGCAGGATGTGTCTTCAGTTCTGCCCCTGGCACCAGAGAATTGACTTGAGTGTATTTCTCAATTCCCAACTCCCCTCTGAATTCCTGTTGGGATAAAGACGGGAGCGGCTGCGTTAGACCAGTCTCACTCTCCCATCTAGTGGTAAAACAAGGAAAGTTGGTCAAGATTAAAAAAAAAAAAAAGAAAAAAAAAGAAAAAGCAACTTTATATTTCTGTGGATTTTGGGATGGGGATAATGGTACTATTAGCATTGCGGGTTCAGTTAAATTCCTCCTCCCCAGAAGGACTGTCCCAGACCTGATCCAGAGGAAAACACAGCTCTGATTCCTGCGGGGCCTAGGGGAGGCCTGCTCTAGCAGCAAGCCAAGAAGGAGAGAGACCTGCACGTGGATGACTATGCCCTGTGTGAAGCACCAACAGCTTGGGTCTAAAAGCGTGCACTTGAGCAAACGGAGCTCTCGATGAGTGGGTGGTGGAAAGCAGCGCAGCATGAGCTGCGCTTTCCCACACGTAGTTCCTACCTTCAGCCAACCCTCAGGGCTGCTCAGGCCCCATGTGGTGAGCAGCATGACACGTTCCAGTTCCCTCTCTGGCCCCTTCAAACCTTCAGCACAACCACGGGTCCCCCGAAATAGCTGGGGAGGTGGAAACCGCGAGGGCTGGCGGCACGGACAGAGAAGGAAGCCGCAGCATCCTGCTCAAGAAATGTGGTGGGGGAAAACTGAGAAAGCAACAGGGCTATTACACTCTGCAAGGCCTCTCACCATGTCCACTCCACCTGCAGAGCCCGAAATTTCAGCTTTGCAATGGCTTTCACGAGCCTTCTGCTCCCCAGAGATGACTGGGGATATGGGGCAGGGCAGTGTGTGATTGTTTCAGTCCAACCTGGGAGGGAAGGGTCCCACTAAACTTTAACAGGATCAAAGTGATTCAGACCCCCAAAACCCATTTTTTTTTTCCATGAATAACTGATGGAAAACCAGCTCAGCCCAAAGGCAACGACCAGTCCCATGAGGCTGCTGCTCTCTGGACAGGAGAGGTGCGTGGCTCGGGTCCCGCTGGCCCTGGTTTGGGATGCCCAGATCCTGCTCAGTTCCAGCTGAGCCCTGAGCTGCTGTGCACTTAGGGAAGATTTATGTTCTTCTGTCAGATCGAAGAATTGTGGCATTTCCTGGAAGGTTAGATGATGTTTCATTTTCAGCAAATAAGGTCAAAAGCACAAAGAAAAAAAAAAAAAGTAATCTCTCCTAGATCAGCTGTTTGCAAACCCTGGAGGTGCAAGCGCTTACTTGTGGGTTGCTGCTCATAGAAAAATGCTTTCCTGGAGCAGCACACAAACAAATGTGACTTTGCTTCTTTGTCACCCCACCGTCTCCAGCACATACAGACTCAGCTGGAAATAGCTCACACAGATGAATATGTTGCTCACCCACACACTGTCAGATTTTTATTTTTTTTTTAAAAAAGGTGCTGGGCACACCTGGGAGAGCAGGAATGGGGCAGGTGAGAAGGCAACCCTGTGCAGAAGAGATGCTGTGAGTGGGGTGGTTTCCCAAGCAGCTCCCACACGATGCTGGAGGAGGGATGCAGGCTGGATCCTGGAGCTGGTGGGGGGGTCAGGACACCTTGGGGACACCTCGGGTTGTGTTGGGCTCACCAGACAGGGACATCTCTGGGCCCTGCAGGGTGCGGATGGGAGCAGGGTGGGTGCTGGCCGAGGGTGCTGGGTGCAGCTCAGCTGCTGCCTCGCTCCTCGTGTCGGGAGAGGGCAGCCTTCCCCGCGGATGGATGCTCCAGGGAGGGGAGAAGCATCCTGCAAAGAGCCAGCCCCTGTCCCAGCACACAAAGAACTGCAGCTTTTACAGAAAGCCGAAAGGAGAAAGTTCAAACCCTGCTCACCAGCGGGCACACAGAGCTGCAGAGGGGTCCCTTTGGCTGCAGCTGGATGGGATGCCCTGGCCTTGCATTGCCACCCACAGCCCTGCAAACCCTCCGAGCAGGACAGCCCCTGCTCTTACCCTGGAAATCTGTTTGCACAGCTACAGCCAAAAAAAAAAATAGTCAATGAAAAGACACGTTGGAAACGTGGAAGCAAACTTAATGCTACTGCTGTGATGCTCCATTTGAGCTGCGAGGGGAAGATAAAGTTCTGCCTCCCACTAGAGGTGTCATCAGGGAAAATTATTTCTTCCCTCGCTAAATGGCATCACATTGTTTCTTCTTTTCAGCCTGCTGCCAGCTTGGTGTCACGATCTATTTTTTTCCAGGAAAATACTCGGGTTACCTGACAGTGGTGGTAATCCTCCATCCACCCCCTGGGTGGATATAGTAAAGATATTCAAATATAGATCCACCTAGGAGAGAAGAACAAATAAAGATGGCTCTTAGCATGTGAATAGCTAATGAGGACCCACTTAGCAGTCTTGGCATATTCATCAGCTCCGGCAGATGATCGTTGATTGTGTGTCTGCAGCTACTTTCTTCTCCTTTGCTCATTATACCCGGGTCAAATGAAACACACACAGAACCGTGGCAGAAATGATAAGAGCCGATGGAGATGGCCGCAACGATGACCCATCCCAACTGGAAAATTACCAGTTAGGATTTTTTATAGCCCGTCAAATGGAGCTATTTCATCTTGCAGCAAGAGGTAGGTCACTTCTAATTACCAGGGTGAAATCCAGCTCCGCACACCATCCTGCGTCTCTCATTAGCGGTCCTGGATGGGAGACCCCTTGGAGAAGCAGCTGAGCAGCATTTCAGGGTTGTTTTGGGTTCACCCAGTGACTCGGGGTTGTCGGTGCCAGGAGGTGAGGACAACAGAGCCGCTTGGTGCCCTGCTCACAGCCGCAGCTCTGGAGATGAGCACCACACACCCCAGCACCGCACCCTTGGCCCAGACTTCTCCCTGTTAGCAGGAGATTTTTCAACCAGTGGTTAGAGTCCTGTGAAATCAGAGTGAATGGCATACAGACATACATATAAACTATAAAAATAAGAAGAATCCTCAAACAGGGGGTTCTTCTAAAAGCACCTTAGGATGCTGGTTTCTCCCCCTCCAGAAACCAAGTTTGGCTGCAAGGTGAATAAAGCCTTTGTCAATGACCTGTGAAAAAAACAAAAATGGACAAAAAAATAAGAAAGGAAGAGAGCAGGTCGGATCCTGCCTCACCATCAGTGCCATCTCCGGATCAGTTTACCACCACTCTTCTTTTCTTTGCAGTGCAGCAGGTGTTGGAGAGGGGATGCTCAGGGCTTGGTGAGGGAACGGGCAGGCAATGGAAAGAGCTGGGAGAGGGCTGCTGTAACGTGGTGCCATCGGCAGAGGACTCGGATGCAATCTGGGTTACACGGGTGTAAATCTGCTCCATTTATCCTTGTCTGATCCAGCCCTGACACCTCACGCACCGTGGTTGCTTCCAGGCCCTTCAGTCTCAGTTCCTTTTTGGCCCTGACCCAGCAAACCAAAGCATCCTTTTCTCTCCAGTTCTGGGTCAGAGGAAAAGGCTGTTATTAGGCTACTTCTGCTTTGTGGTCTTTTAATTATTTCCACCTCTGTGATTACACTAATTAGCTAACTGGTTTGTAATGGCTGTATGGTAGCTCTCATTACACTTTCATTAATCACAGCATCAGCTAGTCTCATTACATGATTTTTTTTATTTTATTTTTTTTGCTTTATGATTTGAAACTATTCAAAGCAAAAGTAATCTGAAGGGGGAAGAGAAGTCAATAGGAACAGACAGAGTATTCGTCAGCAGCTTGGCAGAGAGACTCTCAGGTATATTTAGAAATGTTATGATTTACAGGAGCCCACCAGCCATTTACTTAGCTTCTAGAAAAAAAAAAAAAAAAGGTAAGTTTGAAGTTTCTGATCACAACTGTTTAAGGCACCTTCTCACTTTCTTTGATTCAAGACAGCTGAGTGACACATTCAAATGGGATCAAAAATAAAACAACTGACGGTGTGTCTTCTTTATCCTGATGGCTGCAGCTGAGCATTGCCTCAGCCACAGCATCTCTTCATCACATGGCGAGCAGGGGACAAAGCAGAGAAGAAGATCTAAGAGAAGGTTAAGAGTTTGCTGCTGGAAAAAACATTACTTTGACAGCTCTCAAGACTTTCCTATAGATCCTCATCCACCTAGACTATTTCATATGCTAAATGACTTCTTAAAATAATCAAAATTAAGAACAAAGCCCATGTTGGATAGCTTAAATACATGCACAAGGGAGCGTTCATCACTGTGGCTATGACAGAAGATAATAATAATAATAACAGCAAGAATTAACACCTATTTAACAGGAGAAATCCAAAAGCCTTAACAAACACCAGTCAATTAATTCTGCCAGCCAGCTATGTGTTGGGCAGGGAAAGGATGGTGGGTGAGAAGAAAATTGTCCAGAAAGGTGGAAACTGTGAGCAGAAAATGCAAAATTGGTCCTGCTGCTCGCTCCCTGCTCTGCAGCCACCACGGGAGCCCTTGTAAGGCACCGCTGCCTGCACTGCTGCTGCCTGCACCAGCACCACGTGAATCCTCCAAGGAAAGGTGTGCAGGAGGGCACGGCTCTGTCCATCAGAGCACAAATGCCTTGAACCCTTTGCAAGGTGTCAGAGACACGAATTAGAAAGAACACAAAGGTGGACTTTATACATCAGACCTGATTTAGCTTCTGAGAGCTGAAGATTGGTCATGCTCTCTATGGATGGAGATGCTATAGATCCCCGGGATTGGTCATTCTTGTGCTTTCACCCATCCCTGGACCAATCCTGCCCATCAGCAGTTTCCCAGGACAGCAATCACCAGCGGCATAGCATCCCCCAGCCTGCTCCTGCAACTCGTGTTGAGCCACCCAGACCCACTCAGCATCAGGCAGAGGAGGCAGAAAAGGCTCCTCGTGGCCTGCTTTGCACAGGACAGGGAGAGCAATGGGCTCCTGTGGCCAAAAGAAAAGCTTTGTGTTTACTGGCAGCGTGTCTCCAGTATGTGGGCAGCAGGCACAGAGACGCAGAGCGAGCACCCACAGCCCCCTGGTGCTGAAACCATTGCTTGGTTTTGCCTTGGTGCCAGCAGCAGTGGTGGTGAGGTGGCCTGGAAAAGCAGTTTCCAAATTAAAGGGTGCAGGTGACGAGTCAGGGCAAACGCAGGAGGCATTGCCCTAGCAAAATAACAGCACTTAAATGCTCTTCCCAGGCAGAACTCTCCACTTCACTCAATTTTTGTGGCCTCCATCAGCCACAGCCCGGGGAGAGCCAGAAAAAATTCAAGGATGTCCAAGTGCTTCCCTGCTATCGCAGCATCATCCGCACAGGTCTTCTGATAGCTCTGGTGAGCTCCCCATTGCCCCCAGGATCTCCGTCTGTTTCTGGAACAGGACAAATTTTGTCCATCCTGCTTGCTGGGGACGAGGATGGGATAAGAGCAGCGCACAGGGATGAGCTAAACCAGACCTTGAGCAGCAGCTGCAGTGTCTCAGCTGCCCTGGGAGGATAACCATTGCCTCGTGGGGATTTTTTTTTTAACAGCAACCTCTCTATTTAATTGTCTTTTCAGCTTTTCAGTCTCCAGCCTGTTTTCTTTGGCTTCTGCATAGCTACCAGGTGTGGCTGTGGTGCGTGGCCTTCCTTCTGTGCCTGGACATGATAACCTGGGCTGTGCGCGATGAAGAAGGTGACCAAGCACCAGTGAACAAGGTGTTGCAGTGCCATATAAATTTACCAGTCACTAAGAAACACTCGTAACTTTTTTAGCACAAGGGACAAAAGCTAATGGTGTAATTAATTGACCCAAGGCAATTCCCTGACCTTCAGGCACTGTGAGGATGGAAAGGAGCCGTGTCCGTGTGCTCACTGCCGGCAGGGCTCTCCCCTGCCTGGGCTGGCTACAGCAAGGAGGAGAGCAGGAGCCTGCATTTCCTGAGAGTAAGAGGCTGAGGAGCCCCCATCACAAGCAAAGCATTAAAAAGAAAAAGTAACAATAATACCAAGCAAAATATTGCTTCAGGGAAAAATTTGTGCTTGGTTTTAGCATGGATGTCGATATTGCACGCTCAGATATAGCTGTGTGGAAACAGTTTTGCAGCGTGTTATGAGGTGGTGCCTGGAAACAATGAGCGGCACTTGCAAGGGAGGAATTAAAGCATTTGAAAATTAAAAGACATTAAAAAAAATCCCTTATGAGGAGATGGAGTTTCCCTGAAACACAGACCCCTAAAGCCAGAGTCTGTGACTGCCTTGAAGCACTTGTCCGACACTTCTCCACTCCTGCAGAAAGGGGCTCCAGCAGGCAGCAGCCAGCTCGCCTGCAAACAACGTGTGTGAGCTCCTCGGCTCTGGGCAAGGCTGTGCCTGGCTCGAGCACGCCAGATTTCTCAAGGGCAAGCCCTTCACACGCTGAGAACAGGGAGAACAGGCACCCATCCTGCCGGATGCCTGCCAGCGGAGGTGTTCTGCGTGTAACAAACAAAAGCGTCTCCATTCAGTGCCCTCGGTGCTTCCACAGGCAGACCTCACAAAGCACAGGGGGATGCTTTTCAAATGATGAATTTCCTAATTTCCAGCCCTGGAGCACTCTGGGGGAGGGCCTCGTTGTGTCTTTGGGATGAGGGAGGCGCAGGTTGCTGCTGAGCACAATTTTTGGGGCATCACGCACCCAAAGACAGCGCAGAGCAAGGCTCGGGCACTGCATGGAGGTGATTGCTCTGCACTTTGCATATTCCCTCTGTGCACTGGGCTGGGATTTTTCATTGCATCCATAATTCATATCTTGCTGCAGTGATTCTACAGAGGCAGCACGGGACCTCAGCACGGGCGATTGCCGGGGAGGGATGCTTCCAATGCCAGGCATCAAACCGGAGAGCCTGAGTCCAGCGAGCACCTCCACTTTACACCACCTTACCCACAGACAAAGGTGCAAAGAGACAGTGAAATAAGAGAGTAGTTTTGTCGAGAGGGAGGACAAGTCACCCATCCTTGCACAGCTTTCTCAGAGCCAGGAGTGACTGTGCAGGGCGGATGGCAGCGCAGCTCTGCCTGTCTGTCCAGCCCAGCTCTGCTCTACACGTGCAGAGGGCATCCCTGAACAAGCTCAGCACCCGATGCCCATGCACCGTTAATTTTTGGGGGTGAGGTTGCTTTCCTGCTTCCGGCAGCTGAAGAGTGACAGTCTTTGCTGTCGCTGTGGATGTGGAGATCACTGTGCTGCTCCAGCTGTACCATGCTTGCAAAGCTGCCTGCGCTCCCTTCCAGCTTGTGTAGCTTTCTCCTGCAACCCCACTGCCTTTCCTCTCTGTAACACATGCACTGAAAAACCCCGTTTGTCAGAAACTAAAGTGTTTTGTGAGATTAAAATGTAAATGTTGCGCTCGGCTTTTCAGAGGGGGGTTGATATTTCACTTGTGACTGTGCAGGAAATAGATTTTTGATAACTCTGCGGAACTGCTGCTGCCCAGCCACTGCTGCAAACAGCGAAAACCTTAATAAATAAATCCTCCACCAGCCAGCTCAGAAAACCAACTTGCTGGTGGTTCTGAGAAATACTGGGAATTTCCAAGCAGCCTTGCACAAGGGGACCTGTAATTGCAGCAGCCTCTCCTGCATTGCCTGCCCTTCCTTCTGTGGGCTTGAAGGAGCTGCAAAAGAGCCTGGTTGGCACTGCTGCCTATAAATACTGCACGTTCACTTTTTATTGTGTTTATGGACTTGAAAATGTGGGGAAAGGTCTTTGTCAGGTATCATGCATCTCGCTGTTTAAGCATAGCCCATAAACACCAGAATGGGACATTGAAAGGGAGGGTGAGAGTGGTTCACATGGAATTGCTGCTTGGCTGGTCTCTGGTGTGCCGCCTCATCTGCTGTAGGAAACCTGCAAAAAGTCTGCCTGAGCCCCAGACCAGGTCCCTCACCATCAATCTTGCTCCTCATCTCTCCAGGTTTCTTCTCCTCTGCACCCTGTGATGCTGCAGAAGCCTGCACTGCTCTCAGCCTGCACTGCTGTGCATGGCTTTGGCCACGTGCTAACAAATGCACGGCACTGCAGCTTGTGCATAATCCAGGCACCTTGGTGATCTATAGCCTCAGAAACACTGGTGAGCTTAAGGAAAAAAAAATATCAGAAGGCTTTTGCTGACCTTCTGCTGCCCACCAAAGCTCTCCACCACCCTCCAGTGTGTTCGGAAGGGAATTGCCTAGATTTTGGCATCCCCATTTAGCACCCATTTAAATGTCTGAACCTTGGTATAAGAAGCTCTCGGATCACAGCTCTCAATTGAAAACTATGCTCAATGTCAATATTCATAGCTTTAGTACCAAAAAGGATCATGAGGCTAAATTAACCTCACTCACATAGTACGTGTAATACCCTGAATGCAACTGCTGCATAACTCGACCTGCTGCGCTCAGATACAATCAGTGAGACAAAAATCACTTGTAGTGATAATACGGCAAATAACTTCAAACAATCAAGATATATATGAAAAAGAACAGACCCCTGTTAACGGAGCCTGAGCCTGATCTGTAAACTTGGCTACTCACTTTTTATCCCTTAAGTAAACTAGGAAGAGTAGAGTATTTATAGCCTCTTGATGTGAGTATCCTTGGTGAAATATTGGATGTAATAAATATTCTGCCATCGCAGGAAGCCTACAGGACCAAACGCCACCAAGGTATTGCTCAGCCAAACCCTATGCAGCTAACGAGTCTTGGTGAGCTGCCAGCCAGCTGAAAACATCGCAAATGAGGGAAAGCAGGGAAAAGAAAGTCTTACTGTTAATGTAGGTAGGGTTTTATTGACACAATTGCACTGCAAGGTCACTGAATAAGGTCTTCAGTCCTTTCATCTCTCCGTGGCACCTTCAAACATCCCTTCCAACCCTGGGGTTCAGCCAGCTTTATCCCAACATTTTGTTGTTTGTCAACCATTTTCTTCATTTTTGTTTTCTGTTTCCTTTATGATGTAAAGATAAGATCCAGGCCCTTTTTTCCTGCCCCATGCTTCCAGCATTACTTTTTATGGAATTACAAGTTACGCAGCGCTTCCGCATTAAAACAAAAGGAGTTCATCACCATTTTTAAATAAGGATGTTGTTTGTAAATGCTTTATTCATAATTAATGGAATTATTGCTGGGTGTAGCCACATTCTT